CATATAGATTCCTCAAGATTGTTAAATTCATAGTTGTGAACTTTGTGTACCTTCAAGCAAGATCGTATGTATACGGCTACTCCATTCTCGATGCCTGGTTTTCTGTCGGTGCGAAACAAATACGTCCCAGGTATTGCTAGCTCCTGGTCCAAAAACTGAGAAGATATCCAAGTTTCAGATATTCCTATCAGATTATTATTATTTTTAGCATTTCTAAGTTCACGTAGCTCATCCATTTTGTTTGGTAGACTCGCGGCGTTCATGTATAAGCAGTTAATGCTTTCAATTTGAAACGCGTGAGCTTCTTCCTTACGCGAATGGACAGGTAGCCTACCTATATAAGGTTTGCCGAGTTGGTAGGCCCTGCCCTTTACACGTTTATTTCTATAATCACGACAGTCCTCAAGTGGAATGGTCAACTCCATTTTGCCTTTGTGCTTGATCCTAGCATCATGTGGCCTGCCTGGGTGCATGTGGATCCCAGTTGGCAACCGACATCTGTTGACACGAAATGCTTCCAGAGCTGCAGCCGCCATATGGGAGGATGGGAAAGTTATCCTCATTAGCCGGGGTTTAGAATCACCGTCCTTCTTGGCTAGTCTCGTCACATGCTGAGTCAGTATGTTTTTGAGCCTCAAGGACTGTTTGATGAATTTCCATTCACGAATGTCAGAGTTTGCTTGACTAGGGTCCATGTTTTCCGGTACACCTTGCACGATGATGTTTCTTCCGCGAAAAAACTTCTCTCGAGAATCTTTAGGGATGTTCCGGATGAGATTGCGCTCAAAATACGGTATGTGAGTTAGTATTCTTACGTTCCCGTCGGATTTCAGTAGATGACTAGCTAGCAGGACATCCTCTACTTCGGTAGCATTGTTGAGTGTTACACGAAGTAGCCTCGGGTGATTTTGATGCTTAGATTCCTTTCCCCGAGTGAGGCGTGTGACCATCAAAGGCTTTATTCTAGGAAGTTCAAGCATTTTGTTCAATTCATCCCAGAGTATCCTGTCATTTTTGTCCTGCAAACTGAGAGGAAGGTCAGGGTTGTCTTTGAGGTTCATGATTACGAGAGAGTCATCAGGAATCGTTATTGATTTCCCAGGTTTTCCGGTGCGCTTAGGTTCAGCACCTTTTTGTCTAAAGGTCGAAGCACGTTTCTGAATCCGAGGCTCTTTGATGACCGGACGGACATTCTTGTGGGTAGACTACGCGATCAAATGGCCAGTTGATTTCCACACAACACTTAAGATGTTCAGCTTAGACGGTGACGCCTTGTCCTTTTTAGCTCTGTTGATGTGGGCTCAATCACCTGCAGAGTTTTTAGGAACCACTGTTGCATTCAAAGACCCCGAGCTCGGAGACCCGAGTTTACTGAGGGTATATATTACCGCCGACGTAATGATGGTGCTGAGTTTCAACGTGTCATCATTGGTGCTAATGCATGCTCCATAGATAGTAGACCTGTCGACATCCTTATTCTTGTTTTCGTTGCTCGCCCTTGTTTGTGTACCCGTTTTATGACTGTTTTTCCAAGTTTGCTGGCAAATTATTCCACAGACCTGTCAGTTGGAGACATCAGAATTATTACTTCTAAAAGGCAGAAGAACACTGAAAACTCTGTAAATGTGCTTGGTATCACCATGATCCTCTTCATTCTAATAGACTATTAGGATATTTACGAAGTAAACCTCATCTGAGGTGTATCCACTTAGGGTGCTACAAAAGAATGAATACTAAAATTTGTAAAGTCGCTTTCGATATTTACATCAAAGACATATGGAATTCCCCCTTGAAAAATCATAATTATAACTTTCGTTGGTTCTCTCAAAAAACATATATTTTAGCTCCAAAAGAACTGAGGTTGATCACTCTAAATTACATCCCAGTTTCTCATTCTGTTATTAATCTTCGTCCATTCATTTCGGTTCACGTTAAATGAAAACTTTGAGCGATCCAATTGTTTACGATGCAAATAAACTTGAGCCAGATTACGTAAAATCTGTTTAGCGGAGTTTGTTTGTTGAAATCGCTAATACCTATTCACCAGGTTTAGTTGTTGGTGGCGGCAATTCGTAAGTTAGAGCTGATCCTTGTAAATCTAGCTGTTGTTACGGCGTGAATTTGTATGCGACTGCGTGTCTTTCTAATTTTCCGGTAGGAATATTTTGCTCCCTGTTTTGACAAGAATAACGTTTGACTTGGTTTTTGAGTGATTACTTGTCACCTTTGATGTAACACATAGACTAGTATTCTTCCACATCATTTTCTACGTAAAACTATTTCAACAAGCTCAGTTTCGTTACTATTATTGATAACTTTTTTAGCACCATAATTTTATCTTAATAATCTTCACTGTAGTCTACGCACTTTAGTACTGCTTACTACGTAGAAACTTGAATCGAGGCATCGTAGTACAGTATTTCTCAGTGGTTATGAGTATCTGTAATTGGAGAATTTCAGCGGTAAATTGTATTAAGTTTTTGGGATATACAAAGGCTCAGTTAAAGGAAACTAAAGTGACGCTGGTGCGAGATTTTAGTTTTTACGTTATTTCAACACTTTCGGCTAATTTTTTATTTATTTGGACACAAATATTGGCACAAGGGCTAATCATATACACATGCTCTATATATTATTAATGAGGTTGTGAAGAGATAGAATGCAAAGTGTGTATAATGAATAGGAACAAAAACGAACATGAATTTGGTTTATGAGTTAATCAATAATAATAATAATAATAATAATAATAATAATAATAATAATAATAATAATAATCGTCGGCAAAACAGTTTTTTTTAAAAGAAGAATGCAACCAGAAAGGATTATTTCAGTTAAAGAAGTTACGTTTACTTCTATGAAGAAAGTAAAAGGTAGTTACAGTAAGATTGCCACTGGCTTCTATTCTGAGCTATGGCTGTTAACGTCTCTAGTCAGTGTTGCACCATATCTAGGACCCCAGCCAAGGAGTCTCAAAGAGTCAACAGGAGTCAGTCTTGTACAGCTTTCTTTCATAGCACGACACCATGTCATATACTAACCACCTCCGCTTTTTCCAACTAGCCTCAGTGTCAACAAATAATTCACGACGTGGAATTCTCTGTGACGACATCCGCGTGACATGTTCAAGCCATTGAAGTCGAATTTTCAAGATAGCGACACTAATCGACTTATTGTCGCAGTGCTCAGACACACGACGTCGAACCTCAGCACTACGAACATGATGTTGTTACTGAATGTCGGCAATCCTCCGAAGACAACGATGATCAAACACAGAGGGTCTTCTAGTACCCTCAACTCGAAGCCAGGCTTCACAAGTATGGAGCAGAACTGCTCTCACTGACCTCTTGCAGCCAGACTAACATCACGAAGGCACCAAAGGCGGCCCAGATTAGCATAAGTCTCCTTATCTTTCACTACAAGTGAATTAATCTCATCACTCACACCACCACCACCACATACTCAGCTACTAGAAGGATCGTTAGTTTGTACAATACAGTACATACCTTCTGTCAAAATACCCATCTGATATCTGTACTTAAAAATTAATTTCCATCCTGCCCAAATGTGCCTGATTTTTAGTAGTTGTTATTCATATTGATTACTATCAAACATTTTAATAGGAAATCTCAATGGGAATGCTGAGGGTTCTCGTCATCATTTCGTTGGGATTCAATGTGAAACACTACATCTGTATTAAAAACCAGCACTGTATCCATCAAAAGACAAAAAAGTGAATCTTGCGAATTACTGATGGAATACAGCCTAAAATATTTTTACTTGCATTACTTCCAGTAATTTGTTTGTTTTAGGGATCATCTATTATTACCATACATTTAATGGACATATATTTTGTTGTTGTTATCTTCGGTACTAATAGCTTAATTTTTTTTCAAACGAGTAGTTTGCGAGCATATCCGATAGTTAAAGCCGTTGGTACTAAATTCGGCATCTGCAACATACTGGCCATTGAATGTCAGATATTGCCGCTAATAAAACTGTCTACCAACCATTAAAAATCACTGGAAAGCTTTAAATGGCTTAGTAGTAAAACAAGTAGAGAGACCATTGATATGATCAGCACCAAATATTTTGTCACCAGAAAACAATCGTTACAACTGAGGTTGTTATGTTTAACTGAAAAGCGGTATGAAAAATGGATAGTCGAACTAACTCAGTTGGTGCCATTAATCTGCAACACCGACTTCAGCGGTATGGTCATGTTCTACGATGTCATCTCAACGAACTTGATATCATGAATTACTTGCTGATGCTAGAATTGGATTAAAAGGCCGAAAAGTGGTCAGTTTATGACACTTTACCCTGAATGATGGATCAACAGAACTAGGATATATGAGTTCATTACGATTCCTTGGCGACGGTAGTAAAGGTGGTGTAGCTTGAAATGTTATCAACAATCTTACAATAGAGGACTGAGGATGATGTAATTATTCATTACAATTGTTATACAAGTGATACGATCTCACTTAACTAAATCATACTTTTTTTGTCGAACTATATGTCTTAATAAATACTTCTCATAATCATTTTTCGATTGTGCTACACTTATATCCTTTAATTCTCTACATCATTGTCACTTCGTTTGTGTGGTTCATCTTTTTGTTGCCTTTTTTCTGGGATTTGTGTTTCTTAGCCTTCCAATAAACAGTTTTAGCTGTGTAAAAACTTCAGTGATCTTGCAATAAACCCTGTTTCGGTTTGGGCGCCCGGGCAGTATCTCAGCCCTTTCACAAATTATTTGATTTGTGTCGCACATATATATTTGCATTCTCCTTGTACCAATGTTTATGTGTTTAAATAGGTTAATGAATAATCATCCTTCCATATCACTAAGATTTTAGCTCGTGCAATCCGTTTTAGTTTGCATTGCTTACATTAATTTCCCCCCATAAAAATTAAGCAACAATTAAATTGGTTATTTACATTCAATTGTCAAAACTTTTCTTCTGTGTTTTTTAGTCTTTTAGAAACTATTTAACAAGATGGATTCATATGATGAACATGCTGATCAAAGAGAATTGGCAATAATTATACACGAACAAGAAAATCAGCATGATGGAGTGAGTAGACGTAAAAATCATTTATATTTCTATAACATAGAGCAATCAGTATTTAGTAGATTTATTTCCCACGATTATGTTTTAATTGTTCAGTGTGGATGAGATTGTCACTAAAACAATAATGTTGCATAGTATACCATACAGTGTTGGATACTTAGTTATCACATGACTGAGTAAAGTATGGTGATACTTATTTTGTTTTGAATAGTTACCTCGTTTCCGCTTATTCTTACAGTGTGGATTTAAACTAGTCAAAATGTTTCCACTACGTTTTAATAAAAGTAAGATATTTCAATAGACAGTTGAATTTTCTGCGTAACTAGTATTTGAACATACAAATAACGAAAACGTTTTTACATATCAAGAAATTTTTTGTGGTGCTATGTGACAAAGGATATCTTAATTCGTTTAGGCAGCATTTAATACCAACTGGTTGGTACCTTCTGACTATTGAGTGTCCACTTAGCCAAACTTGAAAATCATCCATCAGGTATATCTTCGTTCTAAAAATTCACAAACAGTGGTCAGTCGTTTTTAGACCGTTGATTAATTACCTTTATTGAAATGTTAGGATTTTTGTGTTAACACTACAGGAATCATACAGCTGAGTTTTAAGTTTTTTTATAGGAATTAAAGCTCGTTAAAAATAGCTATGTTATTTTAGTTTCTCTCATTTACACGATGTAAAAAAACCAAAATCCACTGAACTAAAGAAATATCGTAAGTAAACACCTACACTACTGTTTGTGTCAGTTTACTAACACAGTTTTCACATATATTTCATAGAAGTCATGTGTTTTGTTGAGATAATTGCATTTTCATATCATTATCGTATAAAAGACATAATTAAAGTTTGGCTGACTTGAGTTTTTCCACTTCCTGTCATACTCTTTTATGTATATTTTTCATACTTCATGCGATAATAACTTGTACTAGATTACCGAGTTTCATTAAGTTGGATTGAAATAATTTAATGAAAACTGAATTGATCACCATAAAGACGTTAGTTAGAATAGTTCAAAGGATTCATATTAGTTATTAAGCCTTTAGCTTAGTTGAACAGCTTTCTGAAATCAACAATTGAAGTTGTTTTCTCCGATGAACAGTTAGAATATAACTCTAGAATCACTAAAATTCCTGAGGCCACCAAGTTTTATATTCAACTTGTCAACAAACGTTATGTTTTTGACTGATTTTAATATTCATATAAAATGTTTAAATACCACTCAAATACTCGTATCTTGTAGTTGGGATGACGGACTGATATCAAACAAACAACCGTCAAAAACCAGGAAGCACCGTTTTATCCTGGTATGAGAATTCTCGGCAGTGGGTATCCATGACTCCAGGGTCTTCGGTCTCACACGTGATCGCTTGTCCCCTAGACTGCTGAGCCGGCATCTAATATCGCTCAACGACGTCCCATTTTATGTAGTGAGTAGCTGCCTCACTTGTATATTACCTCAATACTTGAAAATTGATTTAAATAATAATTTTATCAGTAGCAGCAAATACTTTAACTCCTGTTTCGTCACATTAAACATTGGAAGTGTAACCGTATGTTGATTCATAAGAGACATTATTACGAAATTCTTTCCCAAAGACCGTAACGTGAATAAATATAATCTGATGATGTTTATGTCAGGAATTATATAAATAATTGACATCTGAACAAAATATCAAAAATGAATCGAGTGGAAAAAATTGTAATTCATTTGTTTATGCTTCATTATTTAACTCTCAATAACGATAGCTAACAATTCACACACGACTACTGTTGTGTAACTGGATTGTTTACTAAAATTTGAAGTTATTATTCATAAAATATATTGATATTCATGGGATTAATTTACAGATTATATTCACTAAAAATATAATCAACTGTTGAAATTGCGAAAATGATCATTCAACATGTCAGTTATTTAAACAACAGTACAATTTATTATTAGCCACTATCCATCTCTGTTTATAATGCTTGGGACTCAAGGCAATACCGAAGCAATCCGCACAGGATACACATATGCCAATAAGAGACTGATTGGTTTCAGGCCTAAACACTAATGGAAGGTTCAAACGACCAATACAAAGATGAGGTTCTTGCCATAGATTTTTAGAGGAAAATTATTTATTTACTGTATTTTCAGGTTATTTTAAATATTTAATAAATGTACTTGTGTACTAGTTAGCTATGAACAAAGTGGGACTTTTCGTAGAAATATCCACTGATTCCAGTCAGCACAATTCCCAGCAGCAACGCCATAAAAGATAGTCTAATTAATATCATTGGTAGTGAAAACACCACAGAGATGCACTCTGAAACTGATAAATAACATTGGGGAATAGAAATTATCAAATAATAGTAATAGTAATAATGATAATAATAAAACAAGTTTTGAAGGAAAGTATCTTAAGTACGTTTCTATGCTTAGTCATCTTAGGCCATTTTGCTGTTTCCACCCATAAGTTGTGACTAATAGATGGATGTCAATCAAGAGGTCTGCAGTTATTTACATAATAACTTATGCCTAACTTCAGCGTTACTTTTTAAACATCAACAATTCTTTGTAAGCATTTGTCGCATTATATCACTAAAATGCACGCATCATCATTATTGATTAGTATAACAATGTATTTTGTCAGTTACTTAAAGTGCTTTATGTTTTTTCAAGAATACGTAACTCGTGCTATTAAAAATATTAGTAATTATTAACTGACGAAATTAGAGGATTCATAACGCGCTGATAAGTATTTCTACTGGTATTAGTTCCACTATTTTCAGTTGTTTTCTACCAAACATGGTGGTATACAAACAATTAAAGCACATATTTGAAAACCAGTTGTTTGGTTTTTTTTTGCCTTCTCACTAATTTGTGTCTCAAATAAAAAGATTAGTTGAAAGGAAGCGTTTTTTTCAGCAAATTGATTATTTTAGTTGAATCGATTATCTGAAGAATAGTTAAAAAATAAGTATGAAACTATCTAGATGTTTTGTGTTTGAAAGTTTCGGATACTTCACAATTTCCACCACTTCTATTGTTTACGTTGTCTTCAAACAATATAATGCATACTCGAAAATCTTGAGGTAAACTCTTTTGGATTCTAACTTATTGTCCTAATGACATTGCCGTTATCTTGAACATTGATAGTTCTGTGTCTTGTCGTCAGATAGCTTGCTATTGTTAACTTTTATTGAACAGTCGAAAGTATACCACAATATCCATCTGTAATTTCTTGGCTTTTAATAGTTTGTCAAATGTCTATCCTGAATAAAATGTATACCCTTCAAAGAGAAGTTAAAATTCAGTTTAGTTTATTGAAATGTTGCTGAGTGGTAAAACACTATGTAAACCAACGTAAAATGTTTAGATATATATTTACTTATTGTTAATTTTTATCAATTTATACATAACTTCTATTTTCCTTTTTTTAATTTTCAAATCTAAACAACTAGATTAAATGAAAATAATCATATGAAAGTTTCTTAGTAATACTTTCAAAAGATATGATGATAATTACCCATCAATATCTTTTATTCTACATTGAAAATATTTCCTCAGTAATTAACCTTTCAGTTTAGCTGAATAAATCACTTAATTTCTTTGAAACACTCATTGTTTAAGTCAGCGGAATAGAGTGTCGTTATTATTTTTTTACTACTTTGTATATTTTCGAAATGGTGTGGACTTTTTCGTATCGGCACAAATTAATAGAACAGTCCCGATTCTTCAAACTGTACATTACTCACAAAGGAATGTTGGTTGCTCCCTCAACATACTAGTAATAGTAACAGTTTATTCACTAGAATTAGTTTAAACTGGGTTGATATACTAGTGGTTTATCCAAAAATGAGCAGTTGTAAAGGGTACTTACAGTTTAGATCATTCTAATTTAAATTTCCGTATACCGTAGTAGGAAACTGACTGATGAAATCCGCCAATTTGGCGGGAGGAGTGATATAGTTTTCACGAATATCACCCGCTGACTATGAAGTTGGGGATTTTTATATTCTGATTTGATCAAATCCTGAAGGCCCTGAGTTTAATCTCGTTTACATGATAGGTGTCTATACACTCCTGGATAAACCTTAAACTTAAGCAAAACCTCCTTCGAAACTCTAGTTTTTAACACTTCAGTAGCTAATATTAATTTGTAGCGAGAACTTTTATGTAAATGCAATCATTTGTTTTCAATGATGATTAGTTGCATGTCATTATCTAATCAAATATCATTCTATCTATTTTGTTCTTTTTTGTTGGGACCCATCCCTCTACTACTGATCTACTTGTAGAGTGATAATCAGTGTAAGCCAGAACTGGTTTCTTCAATTAATGCCCATCATAATATTGCCAATAAACAAACAGAAGACGATGAAATTGTGTTTAAAAATCTGAAATTAATAAACTCTACAGATGATAAGTCTCATTCCCTCATTGATAGCGAAAATAACACAGCCGGTGTTACACAGTGTGATGATGAATATGACACTTTGGATGAATTATTCGACATTGCGAAATTGTTATCGGACTCTATGGATAACCAACAAATAATATCTGTAGGAAAAAAGCAATTAAAATCAGATGATGATAATTTTGAACAAAATGCAGAGAAAGCGTTTGTCGATAATAATAATAATAATAATAATAATAATAATAATAATAATAATAATAATAATAATGGTGGTGGTGGTGGTGGTGGTGGTGATATCGGATATCAGCCATCACAAATGGCTGATAATAACCTAATATCAAGCCGTAATGTGGAAATAAAGCAAGTTGTCATTGGGTATCCTGATCGTATGTCCATTGTAATGGAAGAGAATGATGATGATTATGTTGATGGTAATGATGAAGATTATGCACCAGAAGCTTCAATTAATCAAGAAAAGTGTCATAAATACAACGAAATACTGGTGGATGAGTTGTCATCCGACCAACAAGACATGTCTAAGGATTCGTCTCAAGAGCAAATAACCGAATTCGTTGATAGTCTCAATGAAGTAATTCTTCAATTGATGCATCCCTTATTTGCTTTGTAGTGTTGTTTTTATCCATTATATGTTGTCTAAAAGTTTTCACTAACTGTTGTCACTTTTTTCATTTGTCTTTTGTCCTGTCTCGTTGCATGACTTTTGTCTTATTCTCCAATATAATCAGTGTTTTCCTAAAATTCATCGTTCTTATCGTAGACATTTGGTTTAATCAAATGTCTTCTTTTCAGTATCATTTAATACGATTCACTGTTTATCTAGTAACCCAACTTTACTACTAATTTCTTTTCTTTTCAAAAATTTCATTACAATTCACAGCGTTTACGAATAGAATCAAGATCTTCTTCGAGTAAGTAATATGCTTTGGTAATAATATATTGACACTAATCTAATATTAATCTCTGCTCTTGTATGTGTAACTCTTGTTCGTATACATAATGGAAATTCTGTGTTTTAACATTACTTGCTGTTTTGATAAAGCTTCGTACGATTTTGAGTAATTTTTTTCTATGTTGTGTCAGTTCTGCAATTTGACTGATTGTCTCACACAGAAATAATCATCTTGTCGTTTTGGTTGTTTTTGTACACATCTTATTGTCATTATTCTTCTGCTCTTTAATTGTAAACTTTGATTCATTTCAGTGATTAGTAAAACACTAGCCATCCATAATTCTTCTAAGAGCCTGGCACAAAGGTGCATTGGCCCAAGTCCCCATACCAAATTAACATAACAATATATAATTAGCAAGCTGAATAATAATGAGATTGAAATCATCATAGGAGTAATGGTCTAAAAATTAGCTTGACAGGTAAATCGATTATCAACATGTAGACAAGGCCGTTGATAATTTAAAAACATCAGTGAAACCAGTTGTTTTGTTGATTACATTTAGCTTAAATCTGATTAACCATAAATTTGTTAATCACAATTTAATTTTTGTTTGCAATTTATCTAAAACGATGAGGTATGTCCAATTTCATAACATTATTTGAGGATTTTATTCTATTTTATCCCGTGTTTTAGCTTCGGATGTAACAACAATCGATGAAAATGATGTTGCATGTGAGATTGAAATTCATCCACAACCATTGGATCATTGGGTAGAAGATTCTTATGTAAGTATTTTTAACAGGTAACATACATCACAGCTTGATCGGTAGAATTCAATCAGCACTAAAGATTTCGATGAACAGGACATTGGTCACTACTCGAAAATCAATCAGTTATAAGCACCTCAGCCCTTCAGTAGGTCACTCATGACCCGAAAGTCTCAGCGGTAACATTCCATTCTGTTGAGCTGGCTGTTCCGGATCCAAATCAGGACTAAAGATTATAGACCACACCTTGCTGACGAGTGCCGTTTAATTTAAAATTTATGTCTAGAGCTTCTTGCTGACTACTTTCAACTACCGAAGTTGGTTTTCTGTTCGCTTAGTTTTAAAGTGATATGTGAGAACTCAGTCAAATTACGTGATACTCACTAAACACATAACAAAAATTAAAGAGGAAAAATGTTTTTGTAAAATCTCAGCTGAGATTTTACAAATACATTTTTTCACTTTAATGTCTCACATTAACTCGGTGTCCAAATATTGTGAAACTATTCGTTCAAATTTAGACGAAAGTTCTTATTTACATAACAAAAATATTTCACATAGAGCTCCAAGTGTTACTTCACAATATTATACGACGTCCTTTCTATTGAATTTACTGGAATTGTTTAACAACTTTACGGTATTTTCACTATTATATTCCATATTTAGAAGTGATTAATACCTAACTTTCAAGTCATATTTTTTTACCTGTTAACACTTATCATCATCAACATAAGTTAGTGTTATTCTCCAAAAAGACTTTGTGATTGAGGTCATCAGTCCTACTGATGAACATAGTTTAGGTGGCTTAGCACGAGTATAATTAAATATGTTTTATTTGTAAGGAGGCCATGCCTAAGAAATATCTTCAGTGATACATACATACACACATATGCACACTCACAGATGAGCTTAAATTGCTTCCCGCTGATCCCAGAATTTTTTATCTAGTCATTCACTATGATCTAAAAAATTCAAACACATCATTTTAGGACTAATTAAAGGTGAGATTGTACATGATATGTTTATTTTTACTACCATACTTTCTTCCACTTTGTTTATGAAATCCTTTCTTTCTGTTTGGTAAGTTGGATAATATTGAGTAACGCTTTATTAATATATATATTCTCTCTCTCCCTCCTCTTGTTTTTAATTAATTAGGCCACAGTCGTTCGTCATACACCTGTGGTTACACCTACTATAGTTACTCCTGTAAACACTGCAAATCATAATACAGAAATGGACAATTTGATTCAAGAGAATTTAGAAGTTTATAATCCTCATGAAGAATATGCAAAAAAGCAATTTGATTCTAAAGTATGAATGTTTTGACTGATCACGTTTATTTTCCGATATTTTCTTAATTTTTGCAATTACTACTGCTTATAGTTAACATGGTTTCACGTACAACAAACTTACATCAAGCAAGTTCAGAGTGACATTGAAAGAAATTCTTTCTAACAAATTGATGTAATCTGCGGAACCATTTGAAGTCGAAGATGATGGAGATAAATTGCGACTCAGGAGGATGATTTTATTTAAACTGAGTTCTCTGAGCTAGATGGTTTCATCGTGAAGCTTTCTTTCTCTATCTAAATAATATTATCACAAACTTCAGGTAGAAATGATCTATAAGGACTCTCCACAAGTGCCGAGCGGCTTGTGGAGTATTTCTTGTGGTCAATTAGTTCATGGGGTACAATAAACAGCTTAGTCCTCTACTGAATTTCAATTATTCACTTTACTAATCAACCCTTGTATCACGTATCCAAGTCAATCAAATCGGTCGATCAATTTTGAGTCAGTTTACATCATAGCAATTGCATCTTATTTAGCAGATAGCCTGATAGAATGGCAATAGCGATGATGTTTTTAGTAAAAATTATTTACAAAATTCGTTGCGCGAAGTATACACGCGTTAGAATCAACATTTAGTTACTCTGTTTCTCCCACCCTAGTTATTTAATTTCTTTTCATTCTACGTTAATATAGTACTTGGCAACGGAGGACTAATGCATATATTTTACCAAGTCGCTTGTTGTTTCTTTCTATCTATCCGTTTCTCTATTTCTATATGTTTATTACTTGTTAGATTAAAGTAGTATTGATTTTCTGTGGGTTGACAGTTCAAATTTTATCGAAGATTGTAGTTGATTTCCCTCTGTTCACTAATGTTTGCCAAAACCCCCTGTCCTACCTCCTACATGCGTTATCAAGTAAAGCCATCATATAAGTATATCACTAAATTTCTTTGTTTTTTGGTTTACTTATATAATCATTGTTAGTGAGATAATATAGGGTGAACCAATGATACCATAATCAAGAAAATATATTTGGATCTCGAAAACTTTGACTTAGAGAAGATCATTGCAATATCAATCGTATTGATTTTCATTTAAATCATGAACTGATCATTGTTAGATCGCCGTTGAAAATTTGGAATCACCGGGCTGTCGTTTCGTCTTAGTATGGAACTTCTTATCTGTGCACATCCACGATTGGTTAGTTAGCTTCCTAACGTTAAAGATAATATTGATTGCTATGATGCAACGGATGTTTGTACAAATTTTTTAAAATCTGTAAATACACTTATCATGTATTCATTAAGCTGACTGATTAACCATTCAATGATCTAGACGCGAGTGCTAATCAGTTTTTCTTACACAAGAGATGTATGAACGATGATAATTCTTTTTCTTCTTCAATAATTTCCTTTGATGTTCAGTTGTATATCCAAATTAATAATCCCAAAATATGACCAGGTTTAAGGCAAAATACATCGTTTAAAAATTATTTGTAATATAAAATAAAAACATTAATGTTTGGATGACTAATATGAAGTGTTGTCTTGACTAAGTTTATACGTTAAATGAAATCATGAGATTAATGATCAGAATAAATATAGTTAACATGGTGTGAGAGAGACAATTATGTAATTATAAATCAGAAATCATGTAATATGTAGAATAATATGAATTAGGTACGAATTAGTAAATAGGACTGAATGTTGAATAAATTTCTCAAAAACGTTGGCAAGTGTTATAATAATGATATATGTGAATAAGATTAGTTTAAGCTATGAAAATGCAAATAAGAAGGCTGTATAAACACTAATATTTACTTTGTGATAATATGAAAATGTCCCCATGCTAGGATGAAACGGCTGTCCAGTACTTCCAGGTTTTCCATGGTGGTCTAGCTTTAATTGACTCATGAATTCAGCTATTAAATACGATAATGTGCTTATGTATATTTATTTTTGATGTTACCATTTTTATAAAATGCATATGTACTAAACATAGGGTTTCTATCAAAAGATCTTGTCCAACTGTGTAGTCAATTTTTCAACTACGGGATTAATGCAAGTGGTAGTGTGTGTGTGTCTTTCTCATTCATTCTATCATTGCAAAGGAATACTCGTTAATTCTATTGAAATTTCTCATTTATGCTTTGAACTCATCTCTTTACCCATGAAGGTTGAAGATGTACTGATTTGCAAGTATTTTTTTTTATCATGGTCTTACAACGGTTGCCTTTGCATGGCGAAACTTCTAAGTCTTTAACCTGGTGGGGGTGAAAGGCTAGTGTGGCAACTACTAGGTCGGTATCATAAGTTGATTGGCTGGTGATGCCTTGAGCGTTTAACAACTGACATACGTATTACACATTCCGAAATATCTAACTCAATACTCCCACTTATACTTTATCTAAATGTCTCATTATTTCTTTTTCAAGTAATTTAGCTTGATAAACTACTTAAACTTCACGTTATTTTGATGTGTAATGTTATCAAGAATTAAAATTCACAATTAATATTGATCAATACATTATTTTTTAATGTACCTACCAATGTATAAGTAATGATCAGTCCACCGCCGCTTCTGCTGTGTGCTCACATTTTGTTAGTGCTGTAAAATACTTCATGAATTCATGCTAAACTACTGTACGTGTGTGTGTAACGGAGAGAGTGTGTATGGTTCGCAACTTTAAAAAATCAAGTACTACTAAGAAGTTTTGGTTCTAGATTGTTAGATCGGAAACACCCACTGTAATTCGGATGAATAAATTGGTTGGAAAAAACAAATATTAGTTCTTAATGTTAAATTACTGTCAAGTTGACTCAGTTTTTCTTAACTATTTCATTGACTTATGCGTCTTTTTTATTAATATCGTTAATTAACTGACAAGATCCTAAGCTTGTATCAGTCAAAACGGTTAAGCTAATTCTAAAATCTTGCCATTTATTTGGGCACATCCTACCATCTCTAATATTATTCTCACTTAGTAAGTATAGGTTTAATCATTTCAAGCCGTATTCAAGTAACAACGATTAGACCATAGAATTAATAGTTTCAAATAAATATCTATCGTTCCCATAAAATAATCCTTTATTTTCCACCAAGTAATGACAAACATCAACATTATATCTATCGAACCGATTGTCGTTCTGTTTTCCTTATTCATTTATTTCAAACTCCTACAACTTTAAATGCCATTACATAATCTATTGCACAAGGTTCTGGTATTATTATATATTCTGTCAGTCATATCGAATTGAGTTTAAATGAACAGTATTGAATTATTGTTTGTTTGTGTTACTTGTTCAATGTTTGACATCTATTGAGTTTTTCCTCCATATATGTTTTCTTTTTTTAATGACAAGTTATTATTACTCAAATAGACAACATCACGCCTCATTCTGTTAATCGATCGTCTGCATGTCTTTTCAACAACAACAAAACATAATAACTGACCCTTTATAATTTATTAAATTTAGTATTATCTACTGATTAAGTATCACCACAGTGTTAGTCTTATTCATGAAAATAAGACTGACACCTACTTTGGAATATCTCTCTTAAGTTATGAATTTATTCTTAGTTACGAAAAGAAGTAATAATTTGTTAGTCAATTCACAAAAACACAAATGCATATATGAATATGTAAAAGGAGGGACAGCGAGAGAGTGAATGGAATCATGCTTACTCACCTTAAATAATTTAGAATAAGTTCAAATACATAATTTTTATTAGATGATACATCGTATCCTAAAGATTTGATCTCAACTGTAAATCTGGAAACCGCACTCATACGGTTAAATTAGGCTTGATGAAACTCATTCCGAAAACTTTATTCTCTAGAATGTGCTTAGAAATTCCACGATCATCCACCTTTTTTATTATAAATAGTAAAATAATGAAGCAACATTATAAACTCATGGTTATTTTAGTATTTAGTGATCTATTTACATATTAGCTGTACCTATATATATATATATATATATATATATATATATATATATATATATATATATATATATATATATATATATATATATATATATATATATATATATATATATATATATAGGTAATAAACCCAGTTTGGTATTTTTACGGTCCTCTTATTTAAAATTAGGTTAATTGATAAATGTTGGTTTGTTAGCTATTAAAATTATTCAATAAAATAAGTGCTTAATATGTATGTGTGTGGAAGGATTGTTATGCACTTGCCTCGAATATTTTGTAGTTTTATATATGAGCTTCATACTTTTGAATATCTAAACAATGTAATATTTTGTTTATGTTAATAGTGGCGATCAATCTTGGATGAAATCATCTTATAGTTCATCGCTATCTACATTTGATTCAATTATCTAATAATACATTATGCAAAGTTCCATTCAATCAAAACATTTTGGTATATTTTGCTCATCTTGTGATATTGTGACTTATCAGTTTACATGTTTAACTAGATAACGAGAAAGTCATTGGTTTGTTCCTACTTAGTAAAGTTTACTTTGCTATACTTTATCAGTAATGATATTTTATGGCCTACTACATGGTTATTAAGTTGCATATGAAATTTCTGATCAAATTTGATCACTATTTGGTTCACTTTTAAAGAATTTCATATCATGTTTACCAGTCTTGTTACTTCAATTAGTAGAAAACAATTTCCGAGCGAGACTACAATCTATAGACGAGGAAATCAAATAGCACCTGTTGGAATTCTGTTCGAAATTTATCACATTCATATTGCTATATATCATGACTGCACTACAGTTGGTGTCAGTGCGTTATGATAAACCTAACAGTTGATCCTATTTTCTAACCTTATTTGAACCAAATACGTGGTTACATTTACCCAACGTCAAATGTCGTTCATAAATTGTAGTCTAGATAGTTTGTGTTCTACAAGCTGTAAAGTACTGTTTAGCAAATGACCACTAACAAAAGCAATGTTTGAAGTACTCATTAGTAAGTTTTGTTTAGTGATTGATTGGCATTATGTTTTGTCAAAAAAGTCCATAAAAGTTCTGTTATTCACATTATCAACTGTTATCATTACAAGTTTATCGGCATCCATATTTTTTTAAGGTTTTAATTAACTAGAAAAACCAGTGAAAATTGTCATTATAATCGTGATCACTTTTGTCCTTAAATTCCATTTCTTAGTTAGGTATTGGTTATAATTATTACAATGAATTCGCCGAAATAGAAGAATTTGAAGATATGAACGATGGATCAAATAATCAATTACCTAGTGAAACTCGTCTACGAACCATACCACTAGAACGATTTATTACTGAAGAACCACATATACACGTAGAGAATTTAAAACAGCAATCTCAGACGATGCAAAATTATTGCGATTCTGAAAGTTTAGTTAAAATGAATGTTGTACCCGATGATAATTTAGAGGATCGTACAAGATGGCGTACTTGTCCATCTTTGATAGTAAGTCCAATCGATGTGGCGTGCAACACTTTGGCGTAAATTTCACGTTCTATATTAGCCTTTTCATCGTTTAATTAGTTTGAATCGTTGTGCCTTCAGTCAACGCAACTTTTGCATTGTTAACTAACAGCCATCTAACACCTAATTCACTAAAACATTAAAATCTGATCAGACTTAATTATTTTTGTAAGATCTACATAACACGACCAACATTTACAGCTAACCATTTTCGCTATACCACTGACTGCTTATCATCACATGTAAAATTGTATTCTCTGTCGTTCTGATTAATCAGTTACTGGTCTAGCTTAATTTTCTTGATCATACTTGTTTTATGAAAATAATGAATTAATTTAGTAGACTTAATGAAATAGGTCTGCTTTTTGATATTATTGAGTCATTGAAGTAATTAATCATTTCTGTTTTCCATCTAAACTATTTCACTCGATTGTTTTTAATCAATGAACTCTGTTTATCCAGAATACCATTGAATTTTGATGAGAATTTTACTAGCCAATAATTATAAAACATTGGGAAAAGTATTTGTTGATGAATCTGTTAAAGTCCTGAGTTTGTAAGATTATAGTACCTATTTAGCAGTAAATTCTTATAGTTGAACTTTAAAGTGCTGTTCAGGCAAAAGGCGACATCACTGACCTAAATGCCAACTAATTAATGTAATTACGATTATTTTTTATGGAGATCAAACATATTAAGTGTTGGTTTTCGTCACAGATTGACACTAATTGAAATATCACTCAAAATCAGGGAGCACTGAACAGGTCTTTTGTTTTAGTAAAAAACTTCTAAGAAGTTCGTATCTACGATCCCACTAGAAATCGATTCGAGGACCTTCAGGTTTTCTCATAGCTTGTGCCAAACTTATATGCTCGAATTGGAATCTATTTGTTAATATTTTCAACTTGTCATGATATAATGTGATAATATGCATATTCTATACTTTTTTATCTATCTCTTTCCATACGATCTTGATTTATGCTGCATAATTAGCGACTAGTTAGTTGCGTATCAACGTCTTATCACTCGTTTATTATTCATGGTGTAACTGAAAAGTAGTTCGGACATATTCTTTTTTTCACCTCCTTAATAATTGGTTAAGTAGCCAACTGGTGGTATCTTATATATATATACCCCTGAGCAGTTATTGCTAATAATAACACTAATGGTAGTAATAATATTACTGTTTTGGGTTTGGTCTTAGTTCTTGGCTAATTTCAGTTTACTTCACAAGTTAGTAATGATAATTTTTAAAATATCTAAGTGTTACTATTCTTTTCTGTCACTAATACATCTGATGAATACGCTACAGTGTAGGTATTTTTCAACTCCTCATACTCGTCATAAGTTTATGGTTTTTTATCTAATGCTTTTGTTGCTCTTATCTTGAAATATTTCAATTAAATTAGCCGCCAGTTTTACAGTATTATGTTTGCCTAACCCTTATTGTCCATCATCTGTATTCTGTTTTTCTGTCTCTCATCATGGAAATATGTATATCTATTGGTACCAGTGTGACGCCTTTTTTATCATGTAAATTCGTTTCTGTTGGCAAATTTAAAATAAACCCAATTAGTTATTTGTTGCTTGAAAATAATCTTGGCTAACTAGTGCTATAACAGTCAATTGTAAATGGTTGTTTTGGAAAGAGGTGTCTGTAACCTTGGCTTTATAAGAATGCATAGATTTATATCTGTGTAAAAGAGCATATGTATCTTTTGTGTATACCAATAAATGTCGTTAGTGTATATATTAGTTAGTAGTACTGTTCTTCCTATTTTATTGTTAGCCCGTTTATTAGTACTTTACATAAACACTCCGTTGAGTAGGGTAGATGCTTAATCATCCAACTAGCTAGTCATTTTAAGAGCGAATCTTTGAATGATTGACTACACTTTAAGGGAAATAATAGTCGGCAGTTCCGTGACCTAATATACACCCATAGCTTTATTAACGGTGGATATGATCAATAACAAGCTTAATTTCGACTAAAATACTAGAACTATTAAGATTCTGATTCCAGTCGAACTGTAGTCGAGGATAGAAAATTAAACTAAATGTATCAAGCGGAACACAAACATGGTGGTAGTGACCGAAATATACGGGAATATGTTCACCAGCAGGAAGTTGTGAAATTTATTCACACAGTACTCAATAGGAAAATCAATTAATCCAATGATTATTTATTTTTTATTTTAACACATAGATGTCGGTACAAGGAGGCACCAAATACATATGCGCCACACGAATCTCAATTGATTCGTGTGAGGGCTGTGATATTCGTGAAGACAAAACTCATTATTAATTATATAATGCTAACACCATCTATTTTTGAAGTTTCATTTGATGAAGTCGGCTGTAAATGTTATATTGAAAGCTTTGTAATCAGGAGAGTGTGTCATTAAAAAAATACTCATTCATGACAATCGACTTCATTTCAAAGTGAAATTAGGTGCATTGCATATAAGCTTAATGTATGTTGAATACATGTAACATAATAAATTAGTTGGACAACAGTGGTCTAATGGTTATTGATCATTGGTTTAAAGGTTAAACTCCAGGTTCCATCTAGTTCGGTTTAAGCGACCTGGTAGTTATCACCACGATACACACAAGTGTGATCACACAAACTGGTACTTAATTACGAATTTGTTCATTTTTTGACTAAATACACTTTATTGATAGTGTTTACAGAGGAATGAATAATTTTAAGTGCTCTTAACTGTTGTTAAAAAATTTTCTGAGTGCAAATTGATTAAGTCTTTTAAATTGCTTACAGTTAAACACTTAAATAATGTGTTTTATTGACTCCTTACTCGAGGTTTTCTGTCAAGACCTATTCACTTGTCGGCTAAACTAATGTTGCTATACAGCGTGAAAGCAAATATTAAAAAATGTTTATATTTTGTCTTCATTCGAAGTTAATTATCAGTGAAGGCTTCAGTAATAAAAGTATTATTTTATAAACCTTGAAGTATAAAAAAATCAAAGTAATTAACACTGATACCCCTCGTTTTAGAGACTTACTATACCATGCCTAGTCATTGTTTGCGTGCTCGAATCTGTTTGTACAAAGTAATACATACTTCAAATATTTAAAAAAATAATTTAATTCTATTTAATTACGTTTTATTTCTAACATTTTGTGTGCAATTGCTAAAATTAACTTTTTATCAAATTTACAAATATTTTACATGTTAAATTAGTTGGATGGTCCACCAGGGTGCTTGGTACCTGTGTGGTTGTGCCACAGGATTGAGCTGTACTATTCAGATTGTAGCGTTGAAGCCTATATGGTGTCTGATTCTCCTATGAAGCGGGATCGAGCTGTACTGCTCGGTTTATAAAATCTAAGCCTGGGTGGTGTCTGGCTCTCCTGTTAAACTGGATTGAGCTATAATGTTTAGGTTGTCACGTGAAAGTCTGGATGGTGTCTGGCTCTCCTGAAGACGAATGTAAAATTACCCTGTTCCACAAGGGTGTATTATATAACTAAATTTGTTGGAATATCCATTATTTTTTTATACACAATCATTGATTACTGAAAATACCTTACAAATATACAACCAAATAATTGTAACATTATGGAAACATTTTAAGTTGAAAATTATTAACAGTTTTTTTCTTAATTCCCCAAATGCCCTGGTACGGCCCAGAGTGGGGAGAGTCCGCTCGCCCTCTCGAAATGCTCTCACATGGCCACGCATATAAAGCCTCTGCCAGAAAAGTCCTACTCACTGCCTTCTCGTGGCGGGGGTGTTGTTTACGAAAAGAGAGGACGCAAAGCCGATGTCCGGCGCTTTAACCGGATTCCAAACCAATGGTGCACATGGGCTCCAGTATCCTGCGGGAACAAATGGCGTATGAACCAATCGTTGGTCACCGGCTACCATGGGACTGCACCTCCTCATGATGCTCCATAGCCTTGTGGAACAGATCTTCAGGTCTAAGGCTCGGGGTGTGGCTCCCTAAGAAAACCACCTGCTTCGGTTTGGGCACCCGGGCAGTATCACAACCCTGACACATATCCAATGAGATATGTGTGGCGCATATGTATTTGGTGCTTCCTTGTACCAATATCTATGTGTTAAATATATACAGTACAAAAAAAAGGAAAAACCAGAGACATGAATATTTTAACAATAGCATTGATATTCATATAAATTCTGGTTGATTATATATATGATTAATAAATTTACTACTAAATAAATTTAATTGTTAACATATCTTTACATGAACCATAATTTTATTTCAAATATTACTAAGTAATTCAGTTTTCTTTTACCCTATTCTTCAAAAAATATCATATAGGGTTCCAAAATGGACACAAATATTGACATGAGTAGTACGTCGATGACGGTAATCAAAACCACTAGTCAATTATCATTTATTTTTATTTAAAGTTCATTTTTAATCTACTGAAATATTTATTTTAATTCTGATTTTAGTTTTTTTTTTCTTATTTCCATGTTAATTAACATGTTTGAATAATTAACGATATTTAAGTGTATAATAGATTTAGTCAATACATTTACTCTTGTTTCAGTCAAGTCTATGGTTTAACAGTACACCTACAAGGTATATATATATATATATATATATATATATATATATATTCTTATAAAAATATATCATATCAGTTGAGTTTTCCTAACAACTTGTGCCCTAATTTTCAGCTTGCCTGGATAATGATGGATTAAACATGAATTTATCTGTGCATGCGTATGTGACATGCATTAGATTTGATGAAAAGTATTTACCAGTTGACTTTGAAGCAGGAATACTATGAAAACCAAGTTCTTCCTTTCGATTTCACGCATGACATCATATGATTTTACTTTCCATTGCTTGCTCTTTGTTTGCTTTTATTCTTTTTTAGTTATTTAGTTCCAATCTTTCATGCTTCGTTAATTTTTGTATCCTCGGTTCTATATAGTTTTCTGAATAATTGAATAATTTGTATATACATAGAGATTATTGTTTTATTTTAGCTTCCAACGAGAGAATCAGTTGAACAACCAAGGTGTCATGTTTGTGCAGAAGTGGTCTATCCTTTAGAAGCTTTACAGACTATTGGTCGAGTTTATCATAAGACCTGTTTCAAGTGTCATCAATGTCACCGTGTTCTGAGGTAGTTTGTTTTCAAATAATAATAATGACTATTCATTCTTGTTAATTATTTAAAGCTTTCCAGGTAAATGGAACTAACTAGTTTAGTTTTAGATTTTTTGTTGCAGCGTTAGCTCATTGGTTAGAACACTTGAGTGTTGATAATTGAGTTGCATGTTTGAAACCCTCTCCTCCTCAAACTTCGATTTGGATAGTCGAGTAGAATCACTAACCATGTATGCATATGTCATTAGTTATTGGTTATTTTAAATTCCTGGACAGTGGTTTTTATTTTGAATATTGGCATTAGTTTTGTCTATCCAACTGACCCACCTGAAGTTTAATGAAATAACTGTTTATTACTTGATGATCGTCTGCCGTATATCGACTAGAAAGATGGCTTTCTGATAGTTCGTTGGACTGAGGCATAATATGCCTGTTATATCGTTGGTTGTTCCGTTTCCCAGTTACCTCCGTTTGTTCCCAGCCATTTCTTCAATGTGTGATCATTTTGTTTTGTTAGCCTGTTAACCTGTAGATGATATGGATTTGTTCAGATCCTCTTAATCCCCAGCTGACTTAGGCAGGATGTAAACTCAGCTATCAAAACATGGACATGGACCTGTAAATATCATTTTCGGAACTCTATGGTCCGCTATAGTGTGTAGAATTTGTACTTCCTTCACTGTCTTTCCCTGTTGGTCAGAAATTGCAACCACGTTTAGCCAACTTGTAGCGTGATCTGTCATCACCAACGGGTACTGATTTTCTTTAGATGCTTGAGGAAACTATTCAAAGACGTCTATTGACCGTAGACCTCTTACAGTTGTCGCAGGAATGGGCAGAAGAGGTATGCATACGCATCGATCTCCCTTCATTAACTGGTGTTGAGGGCATGCAAGTACGTATATCTTCACGTCTCCCTCCAGCCTTGGCTGCTATAGACTCTGTCGTAAGAGGCTAGTTGTTCTCCCAACACCTGTATGTGCCAGTTCGTGGCATTCACCGATCACCTCACAGAGTAATTGTCTCGTGATTACCGCTACTTAGCTCCCATCGTCTCCACTTTGAGTTAGCATTACCACAGCATTCAAACTTAAACGATCTATCTGATTGAAAAGTGTGGTTACATTCTGGTTTAGGTTTGGTGTATTAGCGTCAGTTCCTTTGGTTAGCGCTCGCCTCGCTGCCTCGAGCATTGATTTGGGATCCTAACAATATACAAGTGTTTCTGGATCCGACTGCACTGTGTTGACTTCGAAAACTACTTCGGGTAAATCGCGGTCGTTCTCTGGCCACAATAGATTATCTGCAACCATATTTTCTCTCAATATTTGACCAATCGTAAAACCATACTTCTGCACGTGAAACATCTGTCGTGATCATTTCCTCCCGGGGGTCTTTTGCTGTTTTTACACATTATAGTGGAATTGTTGGCCATCTATGTACGATCTCCATTTATCTACCGCCCAGATGATCGTTAGAAATTCCTTCCCAGTGGTTGAGAACTGCTACTTGTTGTCGGAGTTCCTTCAACCCGCTGCTCTACGGAGACTGACGTTTTGCAGTCGTTCGTTACTGATGACAGCCAAACTCGTCAGTTGTGTAGCTGCTCTAGCCATTTTCTAGATGTCCGTTGGCTGTGTGGCATTCGCCACCCAAAACTGTTGGTCTATCATCTCGGAGACACTCTCTAGGAATAAAGATGTCAGCAACTGTTCTTTCGGTCCGCCTTCCAATGCGGGTAATGTACATCGAAGCAATTCAGCTAACGTAGATGCCAGTACAAGTAAGCCTCCGTCTGGCGCAAAGTGCATAACTTTAAACTTCTGTAATACTTCCTACTGCTAAGCCAGACTTTCGAACTCCATCAGCTTCCGAGAAATGAGGACGTTTTATGATTCCTCCCCATCAACAGGAGCGACACCATCTGGTGTCCCCAAGACTCACCTTTGCTCACTGCTCCTCATCGACCAACTCTGCTATGTCCTAGAATTGGCTCAGATAACTCTTGACTTCTTCATTTTCAAATGGATCTGGCCGCAACACATTCCTCCTGATTCTTGACAGCGACACCAAATGTAGAACAAGGCAGTGGGCAGAAGGAATGTTTATTATGATAAATTACAGTGTAGCTATAGTATGTATACAAATCCTTCGATCATCTACTTGCATCTTGCGATGTTTCCTGCAATCCAAACTCGTCTCTCCGTCTTACAACTGTGACAGCTTCGACGCCACGTTCCACTGCGTACTACTTACAAGCAATCTTTCTAATAGTATTCATCACACCTGTAAACGATTTGTGGAATTCTGTATCTCACTGTAGATCGTGTGATATATGTTTTTGTCTATTAGTAGTTTACATAATGAACTGACATCAGTTAAAGAGTTATTGGGAAGCATATACAACTGAATAGCTGTTTCGTTTTAATTCTTAACAATGTACACGTACAAGACTCGTAGGTTACAACTTCTATTCCGTTTAGAGTTGTGTGTGCATTAATAAAGAATATCAGTTATGTACAAAACTTTTCACAGCTAACTACTTTTTTGTTGTTTCCCAACTCATTTTTGTTTGTAATCAAAATTACTCTGAATTCACGCATATTTTCTGAGAATCCTCGTTATACGCTGAAATGTATGCATATTTGAATGATGGAACATAGTGTTATATCTAGAGATTGTATTCTTGCTGTACCGCGCACAACTTGAGCACCCGAACTCTGGAACACTCCAAGTCGCAAGCTAGAAGATGGAAGACGAATAGGAAGTAATCTTATTTCAAACAGTGTCAAATATGGTACAAAACACTTAGGTATTTATATTTTTTAGTAAAAGCGAAATCATCATCGTATCCAAGAATCTTTTTGCTTGATCATTCGACTGGGGATGGTACAGAGGAGTTTGTGGATGTGTAATGCCATTTTCACTGCAGAACCGTTTGAAAGCAGACGATGTGAACTGAATGCCATTCTCAGTTACCAAGATCTCTGGAACCTGGGAACAAGCAAACACTTGACAATTTTCCTGTTGCATTCTCTGACGTCATGCTCGGCATATCGTATACTTCTGACCACTTCGTGAAAGCATCCACAATAACCAAGTAGTTTCTGCCTTGTATTGAACCAGCAAAATCACCATGTACTCTTTGTCAAGGTCCGTCCCGTTTTGGCCATGGTTGGTGTTCTGCTTTAGTCGAATTCTTTGCGGAATCCGGACAGGACCAAAGCTACGATACCTTTGTTCTATATAACGGTCCATTGATAGTCAGTATGCGTAATTCCGAGCCAGCAACTTCGTTTTACTTATTCATAGATACTTGCTATGGAACTGTTTTAGGACTTCATATCAAAGAATTCTGGAGATAACAATCCGGTAGCCAAACATGATGCATGAATCGACAATTGGCAAGGAGTTTCACCGACTAGGGTATTGTAAATGCTCTCCATGAACTCTTGGTGAAAGCCACTTGTTGAGTATATGACGGCGAACGGTTTTCAACGTATTGTCCTTTTCACTAGCTTCTTTAATGGCTTCGAATGTGACCGGCAATCCAGAAACTGTGTCTGTTAACACTGTGAGAACTTCGGCCTCAAATTCCACGGCAGCTACAACCACCTTCTCTTCTTGTTTTATGTGAGGACCAATTAATCTTCAGAGAGCATCTACCTGTCTGAAATCCGTTATCGATCAGTATTTTATCTTGTAATCATAGCCCAAACGTGTAGTTGCCTATCGTTGTAGATGGTTTGTTGTACAAACACGGCTACCTTTTTTGGATCCAAGACCTACAAGTAGTGGTTTGTGGTCTGTTAATAACGTAGCAGGATAAATAACAATTTTGTGGAATTAGTAGTATTTTTGACTTCTTCTAGATCTTAAGTTCTAGTACTCCCTCACACATACTTTTACTTTCATTCTCCTGAAACCATATTCTTAGTGTCTTTTCTTTCTCATCAGCGTTTGTATTACATTTTTAACTCCTGTATTTTTAGTTTTATTCATTTCATCTCGTACTAATGTGGCATGGTAACTTGCATTTGAATAAATTCGTTCCCAGACTCTACGTGAATTATGACTGAGTTATATCAGTGTTAATAAAAATAGCATTGGGTGTAGACGATATGGTTCTAGATGATAAAACGAACTAGCGGAATAGGAGTATAAAACAAAATCTAAGGGTAAACAGTAATGCATCGGAGCCGTTCTAACCGATTCTGAACTATGTCAACCAGTCTCAAACCGTTGGTTACGATAATCACCCACACCCTAATCATACAGTCTGAACCTACGAACATGGCTAAGTCCAGTAGTCATTGACTTTGAGAACAGATTCAACTTTTCGGTTTGCGGCTCCTAACTTTCTTTCAAACCACATCATTCAGGACACTACCATATGTATAGCTTTATATACGAGTGCTTTAGTTTTTTCACTATCCCCTTTGTGTCCGAAATTTAATAGTTAAATTCATGAGTCAATTGAAGCTAGACCACCATGGAAAACCTGGAAGCACTGAACGGTCGTTTCGTCCTAGTATGAAACTCAATAAAAATGTGGTAGTTTTGTATTGATTTATAATCATTTTCGTAATTTGTTAGTTGAATTCTTTTCATTTCAACAGATAGGCATAAATGTACTTTATGGTATTCATTATCTAATACAATGTAATTAAGGTCAAATTATTTACAATAACCTAGTGCATTGATACTGGTAAATCCAAGGAATTTGGCTTACTAAAGCGCGATTGAATGTGATAATTGTTGTTTGTTTGTTATTTAATAAAGAAATTTAATATTACGAATATATACATTTCCCTAAAGTGCCATTTTAAGTATACATTTTAGCTGTGTTGACGATGATAATAATGATGATGACTAGGTAGATAGATGAGTTATATATATATATATATATATATATATATATATATATATATATATATATATATATATATATATTAGATAGAATGAATGTATTTTATTAACTGGTTTTAATGTCATTTAAATGATAGAAAATATGTACTTTAATATTGATGTATTCTACAATTCAATTGCACAGACCATTTTATTCTAATATATTTAAAAATTTATTACTAATTCCATCTTCTAATTACTGAGTTAAAGCAATGAAGTTCAGTATGCTTTCACATATCAATGTATATATATGCATAAGGTCAAGGTGGACACTTTCAAACTAACGTACACAAATACTTAAATAGAAGCAGATTATAAAGAAGAGTTATATACTTGTAAAAAAAAATGGAGAATTAATTATATTAGGTATGTATGTGGCATGTATATCTAACTAACTATATCGATTGCATGTGAGATGATTAAATTTCTCCATAATTTTATGTAATGCATATTCTACTTTCTATTCATCAAATAAGTAGTAATATTATCAATTATAATAATATTACTACACACTGCTCCATTGTCAATTTATTTTGACAGTCATCATTATTGTTGATTGTGATATGTGTGTGTATGGATATGTATGTACATTAGAAAAAAGGCTCATTATTCAAATGCTTTATGATTCGTGACAATTATTCAAGTTGTACCTGAGGTCACAGTGTTAGCAGTAATAATAATTGATAATTTCATCAGTTAGAATTAACAGCGATAGCAAAACTGATATACCCTAACGGTTATATATTTATACTGAGTATTGCACAATACAATTACTAGACTATGTTGATTTCTTTCTGTCATATTTGGGACAATATTTGAATAAATTTTATCAATTAAAATCACGCCTCATTTCAACCAGCTTAACACTAAAATATATAAAAAGTCTTTGATGTCAATTAGAGGTATACGACAGCTGGTTAAAACAGTTCGTCATATTTGATGAAAACCTTGATTCATTTCATAGTTCTATCGAGATGAATTGATAGTTCGAATATTATTATTCATCAAAATGTATAGCATTGTTTTCTCTAATCCAATTCAAGAAGACTTCTTTCTATTTTAAAATACGAGATAAACTTACCATGGATAGGCATATTTCATCATGTCAGTAATATCTATAGTTAGCCTACAAATAGATCCAACTGTCAGAATTGCACACAAATATAGTACACAGTTTGTGTAGTTATATCAAAAAGATTTTTATCAAATAGGGCTGTTACAGAATTAACAATTACAGTTTGTAAATGGCATTTAATTTGGGATGTGTTTCACCTAATCTTCACATATCCTTTTAAGGTTTAAGGGTTAACGCTAATCCAGAATATATCTAGTCAGTGTGTTCATGCACCTAAATCACTGAAGAATAATGATAGGAATGTGTTGAAATACTAAATTTATTATATAATACAAACTTTTAAACACAAATTAAATCATATACTAAAATGTGCTCATTGCACGTTGGTTTAATCATAAATGTGAATTAACAAATATTCTGTCATCGTAATACAACATCAACAGTAAAAGGTGAACATTGTAGTGATGCCTACGTTCATTGATGAATACGTATTTTGTACGAACGAAAATCTGCTTTTAAACTTTGAAAGTTGTGAAAAGAACATTTTTAAATATAGCGATACAAACTGTCCTAAAAAATGAATTATCAAACTATTTGGTAAACCAAATGTTTTTCTAAATCTGGGGACTAAATATGATAATAGATTTATATAATTGACCACCATCTAATCTCACAATAGTGCCCTCAGTGTCGAGTCACCTAGACCGGTGGCCACATTGCAACATGGTCGATAGCATTCGATCTGCACTAATAAGGACTAGACACGCATGACATTGATCACCACCCAGTGATCAATCAATTGTAAAGGGCTTGGTTACCTGACTGGTGACGTCTCTGACTTGTACTAAAGTACACATTTGAGCCTATAGCTAAGCACCGGTCTCTGGAATGTTTTAGATACTTCACGTTAATTAGTTACAACGGACATGAACATAAGTTTTTGGCTTCTAACTCACCACCTTTGTCTATTCCATTAATATACATAAGCGTATCGATGAGCTTAGTGAATTACGTATGCAACATAATTAGGACATCAGTAACAGTCAAAACAGTAATATATACATAAGACATACGATGATTAAAGATAAATGTTTATTGATGATCATTGTATGACATTTTTCTAAATACACATACATGTTTCAAAGTTGAAACAAACTGACCATTCAGCATTGTAGCTAGTTAGTTAACCGTGTACATTGTTCAACATATTATTTAATAAATTATCTCTGTTTACATATCAGACACTGCATATACTTAGTTTTTTGTCCTATATTTACATAATCTATGTCAGTAATTGGCGTTAATTACTTATCAACTGCCATATTCCTTTAAATTATTCTTACTGCTTAAATTTTGCAACCAGATAACTTGTTTTTTTTTCATTCATTCGTTATTGTTGAAAACTTTTTATAGCTTGGGCAAATATAGTGTATGGGAAGGCAATCCATATTGTGAGCCACATTATCTTGTATTGTTCAAGGCGTTTGGTAAGTTGCATAATTATTCTCTATTTCTACTACGTTTTTCAACTCTTTAATTGATTAAGATGTATATATGTGTGTTTATTTGAATAAACTTATCAATGCATTCATGTTGTAGTGGCATCTTTCCTCACTTGTGTGTGCATCAATCCCGTAGTTCGATGAGTTCATTTTCGAATCTTGATACAAATTACACTGTAACACTTTTTAATCAAGTTGAAATTGTCCTATTTATTTTCAAATTGATTTGGGTTATGAAGTGAACACGAAGATATATGAAATATCAAGCTATAATATATACATTATATCAGTTAAAGTGTGCTGTCGCGTCTTGATATTAGATTTCAATTTTGTTTGAGGTAATGGCAACTGAGAAGTCGGATACTGTTATTAGTTGTCGTCAGCGATTTCTCCTAGTTTCAATTACTGATAAAGGCTATGTTTAAAAAGTATAGACAAAATGATGACAGACTTCTACGTTATGCAGAAGCAGCCGATGTTCGTCGTTTCTACCCACAGTTTATGTGCACTGGCATGGTAACCGATTCACTGTTATACTTCTCTTCCTTCCTTCCCTCGTTTTCAAAGAATATTTATACTTTGGTTTATTTTTTCTGGTTGTATCTTTATTTAATTATGGTAACACGTTCTTTGTTCGTCTCAGTCAAATTTTCATTTCTAATTTGTGGTTAATATAACTAGCCTCATTATTTTGATGTAATTCACGAAAAATGTTTGACTCTTTACCTACGTAAGCATCCAAGTACTTTTGTCTTCTAATATCATCTTTAACTATTATTATTATCATTGCTATGGTTATTTTTTTTCTTGATAGTTGCTATTATTTTCATCATTTTGCCCATTCTGATTTCTCACTTCATCCGTTCACCAATAAATTAGACTTGTATGAATATATAAAGTGTTCATAATTATTTTTTATCAGTTAATTAATTGACTTTAAACATGCTACACACAAAATTACCTTTATGAGACATTTTATTGACTTATACAAATCTGTATGTATGTGGAAGATTTAGAGCGCACAAAATGAAATGAATTCACTTCATCCCATTAAATTTTTTGTTCTCACTTTAAAACTAAATAACCTAGTTTCTAATTTTGAAACAAACATTTCAAACAAAATAGTATAATATATTCATTTAAATCTGAATTTTTAACAAACTGCCTTTGTGATTTTATTTTGACTAAATTAGTCAGTGAAAACAAGTTTATTTCCTAACTTTTTTCTTTTTCTCTAGGACAGTATAACAGTAATTTAACAAAAACTCCAACATTTGATGCCTCATCTCATGGTAAGTTCATCATAATTTAACATTAATTCGTTGTTAATTTCTTTGTTACTGATGTTGTTTCTTGTTCATTTTTCTCTTCTTATATGTCTCTCTACTCTTCTTTTCTTCCTGTCCAAGATTGCTTTCTTTGTTTTGACAGATCGACTACTGTTTGTATGTCTATTAACTGTTCTTCTGTAAAGAAGTGAAACGAAAAACTGAGATGCTTACAACTCATTCCTAAGTGTTTTAATTCAATTTCTTATAGTTTTGTTTCAATTATGTTTTTCTCTCTCATCAAAGTTTCACACTCTGTTTGTTTATTAAAGAAACTGAGTAGAATTAGATTGCAATAAGGTGTTTACAACTTGAATTGCCTTTTCTTTTTGTTTCTTATAACTAATTAATTCTACGTTGCATGTTTTCAGTGTGGTGAATGATTAACATTAAACTAAAATGTTTCTGATTTTGCTTTCAAAATTTAAATGATTGGAATCAACTTGATTGCATAACGAATTTGCAAACTAGTTGATCCTCACAAAACATGTTCTGCTTGATCTACGAAGTAGTAGTACTAATAGTATTACAGTATTGTTTACAATATAAATTTTTAATCATGTGATTTCGATAGTGTAATAAGAAGACGAAGATGATCAGAACTATGTGATATATTATCCCAATACATTTTGAACAATCTGATCATAAACATACTTGTTAATTACTCGATAAGAGTAAAGGATAAACATTCATCATCTGCCATTGCCAAATACATAGTTGAAATAAATTTTAACACGGCTTTTGTGGTGTTGTACAAAAGTGTGATCGGGTGTATATTAAGGTTTATTGAAGCCTTAGCCATACGAAAATTCAAGCCCCCTTTGTGTATTCAAACACAGTTTGTTCTTACCTTAAATTTACCTACCCTGGTATTATTAGCTAATTATCCAGGGCGATGAGGTTTCAAATTGTTTTGAATAATGTCTTCACACTATTTTCTTTATTATCCTTGTCTCCTCTTACTCTCCATTTCTAGTCTATTTGACCTTTTATTTTTATATATAAATGTTCTTAACAAGTATATGTGTAATCGGATTGTCCGAAATTATTGAACTAATATACGACATAGTTCTGATAATCTTCGTCTTCTTATTACACTGTCGAAATTTGTCAAAGGGACTAATTGCTTTAAATCATGTGATTGTTATCAAACCATACTTAAAATGTGTGTCAACTAAACAGTTTAGAGTGATACTAAATTTTTTCATGGTATTTAGTGTTCATCCTTATATTGATTAGTAAACCTCTTATCAAGTAATCTTGTTGAGTTTCTTCGAGTGGAAACCACTCAGTTTTTACATTGCACCCTAGTAATTTATGATATTCAATTTTTTGATAAATCAATGAAGTGAAGTTTACTTAAGAAAGCATTACTGGTGGTTATGTGTATTTATATATAGCTGCTGACTGTAAATGTCGATCCAAATCATCGTCACCAATTCTCTTAAGACAATAAAACACACATGTGGATTACAATATGCCTTTGGTTAGAATAATCTATGTCAAAGTTTAAACGCATATCTCTTCCTAAAAATGTTCCTTTAATCGATATATATATATATATTCCTGACCGTTGTTGCTACCTTGACGTGGTGGTCGGGCTTGCCTATCGTGATGAAGCAAATGAGCTACACTGGCTGGAACATCCGTTCCTGAAGGTCCCACCATGCCATACAGGTCGATTGAAGAGCGGTAAGACTAAAAGCAACAAAACCAAGGTCCGAAGGCGAAGTCGTACTGCTGACTGTATAGAGGTGTGACAGCAGTAAGGTGTTTCCTTCAGACAACCAGCATAATAGCGATGCTGCCTTCCCAAAAGGAGGGGTGGGGTTAGAAAAGGTCGACCCTAAAAATGCACACCTCGCCTTATCCCATGGATATCCGTCTCCGGCGGTAAGGTCTCAACAAGTACGGAGCTAACACAAAAATTACTCATAAAAAGGTCGTGTGTGACCGACCTCAAGCAACTGTCCCTTGGGCACTGCGGTCACGCTCTCAGGTCACTATGACCACCTCTAATCCAATTTCCTTTTCAGGTACCTCCAGCAGAACCCTTCCACGGTGTGGGCAACCGGGAAGTGATAACCGCCCTCATACCTCTAACAGCACTCAAGACCACTGTATTCATAATCAACCTCCCTCTTCAATTCCTATTATTCCTCTTACATCGACTTTCAAATCTATACTCCCTCTTTTGACTTCCTCCTCAATTGTCACCACAGCCAACGATTCTAGTGCGCAAAACACTGTCCCAGGTCTACTGAAAACTCGCTCCGAACTACACATTAGAGCCTTCAACGTACGCACACTATGCCAAATCGGTCAGCAGGCTTCCTTGGCTAAAACCTTAGAATCTCGTACCATTGATGTATGCTGTGTCTCCGAAACACGCATACAGGATCCTAGTGTGGTCATTCACTTGACCTCACCTCGGCAAAACGGAGTGCCGACGAGATACACCCTCCATGTATCTGGTGACCCGATGGCCAGTTCTCGTGGACTGGTGGGTGTAGGCATAGCACTAAGCATGAGGGCGGAACAAGCGTTATTAGAGTGGATCCCCGTTAATAGTCGTCTATGCGCTGTTCGGCTAAACGACTCAGTAAGAACTCGGAAGTACAGGGACACACGTCGTTGCCTTTTCGTCGTTTCTGCCTACGCTTCCACTGACTTCAGTTCGGATGAAGTGAAAGATGAATTTTACAGAAAGCTGTTTGAACTTCTTCAGAAAGCTAAACTTTCAGACATAGTACTCGTAGCAGGCGACTTTAATGCCCAGGTAGGTAGCTTAAACGAAACAGAAAGACATTTAGGTGGGTATTTTAGTATTCCGGCACAGAGAACAGATAATGGTGATCGTCTGCTGCAACTTTGCTCAGACAATCGTTTATTTTTAGCAAACACAAATTTTAAGCATAAGGAGAGACATCGTCTACCATGGCGACTTCCTTCACCAAACCAACGATGGACTCAAATAGACCATATTGCCATCAGTCATCGTTGGAGAGGGTCAATAGAAGACTGTCGCTCATTCTGGAGTACCTGCTTGGACTCCGACCATGCCGTAGTACGAGCACGCATCTGCTTGCGCCTCACTGGACGCAAAAGAGCCACACAAAAAAGACTCATTAGAACCGAATTGAGTAATGAGAAAGCCAAAAGTAGGTTCCAGGAACAACTGAGGTCACACTTAGGTAGCTCTGAAAACGAGGCTGACCCCGATGTTGATTGGAAAGACATACAAGCAGCTGTGGAAACAGCAGTGGCATCTACTAGTGATTTAAACCACAGGGTTACAAAGAACCAATGGATTTCTTCAAGGTCTATTGCATTGATAGGTTCTCGTAAACTCATCCCATCAGGTTCTGAACACGATGAAGAGCGTAAAGAAATCAGATCTAGATTAAGCAAAAGTCTAAAGAATGATCGTGAGCAGTGGTGGGCAACGAAAGCAAAAGAGATGGAAAAGGCGGCGGCTATAGAGAACACAAGACAACTCTACAGACTAATAAAAGAAACTGGAATTAATAAATCAAGTGTAAGTCAGACTATTTCGGAAAAAGACGACACTCTCATCTGCTCCCAGTCCAGACGTTTAGAACGATGGGTGGAACATTTTAGAGAACAGTTCAGCTGGCCTTCAGCTACTCTACGACTACCCTCCATTCCCAGAGAGTGTGAATGGAACATTGAAGTAGGTCCACCAACTCTAGCTGAAGTTCAAAAGGCTATAGCTAATCTGAAACGAGGAAGGGCAGCTGATCCAGATGGATTGGTTTCAGAGGTCTTTACGGATGATGGTCTAGTGTTAGCGATTATGTTGACTAATATTTTAGCTAAAATCTGGGAGTTAGACGTTATCCCATCTAACTGGTCACAATCACTTATCGTCCCAATATTTAAGAAAGGGTCAAAATCATCCTGTGACAACCACAGAGGGATTAGTTTAACTAATATAATATCTAAAATACTAGCTTCGATAATTTTCGGACGCCTAACTAAGACTCGTGAACTGCAAACACGTGAAAATCAGGCTGGCTTCAGATCTGGTCGTGGCTGCATCGACCACATATTCACTATTCGTCAGGTTCTAGAACACAGGCATACTTATCGGCGTCCGACAATAGTGGTCTTCCTTGATTTAAAAGCAGCGTTTGACTCTGTTGACCTAGAGGTTCTGTGGCAGTGTCTGTCATTGAAAGGCGTACCTCAGAAGTACATAAACCTTGTGAAAGCTCTTTACTCGAACACTACTAGTCGAGTCAGAGCTTATGGCGAACTGTCATCTGCTTTCGCAACCTCAAGTGGCGTCCGCCAAGGCTGTCCACTTTCTCCATTTTTGTTCAACTTCATCATAGATCTACTGATGGAAATAACGCTCTCATCGACTGAATTCTCGGGTATTTATCTCCTACCAGGAGGTCCACTTGTCGACTTAGAATACGCAGATGACATAGTCCTGTTTGGTGAAGACGCTGATGAAATGCAGAGTCTTTTGGTAGCACTGAGCAACAATGCCAGAATGTTTGGGATGCGCTTCTTTCCCTCCAAATGCAAGTTGTTGCTTCAGAACTGGTCTGCGTCAACACCTGAACTAAAGATAGGGAGTGAAGTAGTCGAACGCGTCGACAACTTCACTTATCTTGGAAGTCTGATCAGTCCCAATGGGTTGGTGTCTGACGAAATCTCAGCACGGATTCGAAAAGCTCGTTTGGCCTTTGCCAGCTTACGTCATCTATGGCGAAGGCGAGATATCCATCTATCAATTAAGGGACGAGTATACTGCGCGGCAGTTCGTTCCGTTCTACTGTACGGCTGCGAAACATGGCCATTAAGAGTAGAAGATATTCGTAAGTTACTAGTATTTGACCACAGGTGCCTTAGAAATATTGCTAGCATCTGCTGGGATCACCGGGTAAGTAATAGTGAGGTTAGACGCAGGGTATTAGGGAATGATGGTAAAT